AGAACCATTACCTTTTAACAACCATAGACATTTTAACATTTGAATATCTGTAGAATGTTAACAAGCAGTTACATATTTTACACAGAAAATTAAAAACCAAACCATACCTAATGAAATGCCATGACAATTATGATAGCAATTTGTAAGATGCTTCAATTTGCATTTTTAACATAAGATATCACATTTTTGATCAATCGTCCCTATCTAACACATAAGAGCTTTTATCTAACTTGTTGACTTTTAGTGGGATGTACATCTCATAAGCTTTTGTTAAAGGCAGAGGTCTGAAGCCGAGAAAAAAATTTGTCACCATAAATGATCTGTTTTACAATTTTGAAGGCCTGTACATCTGGAGGCATGAATATATAAATATACCATGAGGTTAATAACAGTATATCATAGACATATGAAACCTTTGTACAGACATTTTTAAATCAAAAATCTTACTGTATTATTTCTTTTGATGATGATAAATATATTAAATAATATATTACAGTGAATATACTACAGTAATATCTAACTTTAGTTGGCATGTTTATAGAGATCAATGGGCCCTCAAATCCATGAACAAGAACTGGTTAAAAACGTTACCGGGCAGCTGCTTTCTTATTTATCAAATAGATTCTTGTCCAATAACCCACCTGCAGGATTTTGTTTACTCTTTTTAATGATTTTTGATGACTTAAGAAAAACCCAATTACAATATTTAATGCATTTTTGAACAACAGACTTTCGAGTCAATAATAAACCATGTATATTACAATTAAACAACCAATTTTTAACATTATTCTTACTAGCTGGAAACACAGGTAGAAGCATGCTTTTAAGTCTATTACTCAAATTAAACTGATGAAGTGATTCAAGAATGTAAGAGAAAAACAAAGAAAAATTGTTGAACTCAAAATAAAATAAAGAAGCTGTTTAAAGAATGGAAAAATGGACAAACATGGGCATTCTGTAGAGATTCAAACATACATAGAAACAAGTACAGAATTGCTGGTGTCCCCAAGAATTCTCTAAGTTTCCAGGGACTATTTTGTGTCCCTTTGCTGAAATAGCTTGCTTCTTATCCTCTGTGTCCTTGGAGTTGAAACATCTGTCACATCCAGCTCCTCATTCCCTCATGGCATTTCTTTGGTGCTCTGTGCCACTTGAGCACTTCTGTACAGGCACTTGTGCTTTTGGCTTCACACATATGATTGTTTACTAGCTCAGCCAACTCCCAACAACCACTTACAAACAGCCTGGACAAACAGAGAAACAGATGCACAAACAGACTGACAAAAATCTATGATCAGAGTGCATTCAAATATATTTTAGCCAAATTAGACTACCTTAATTTTTTACAATTTTAGAATTTGTGAAACACTAGTCAGACTTGTTCTAGGTCAATTAGCAGAGATCTCTTATTAAAGAATTAGGAAAGGACAAAATTTTATCTACATTAGCATATTTTTTAATCATAGGACTTAGCATATACTCTTTTTAAAAATTTTATTTAAAAGTAAAAAAGAAACAAAACAAAACAGTGTAAGGGTACAAGTGATACAGAACTATAAAAAAAAAAAAAACAGCAAGAAATCACCAGTTAATAGATTACACATTGTCATCTTAGAAATAGTTACTCAAGTCACAGGGTCAAAGCATACAAACTGGAAATTCCAACAGTGAGACTGCAAACAGTTGTGTTCAGTGATCCAACAAAAACTCAGTAATATGGTCAACTATCCTAACACACCTAAACACACTTGCACTTGTATCCTTTAGAGCACTTTTTTTTCCTCTTTTTTTTTTTTTTTTTAACAACAAAATGTACCCATTTGGGGTTTTATTATTCCCATAGTTCTTGTTACTTTTTTGGGGAAGAGAATAAAACCAAATATGACAAAACAACGCTGTCAGTCAAAACCAAGGATAGACATAGCACATGATGTAAAAACAGAGTACAAGGTTATCAACAATGGTTATCATAATGCCCCCTGCTTCCTTAAAAAGAATTGCCTATATCATTAGGTATAATAAAGTTGAGCAAAACAGTACAGAACAAGACCAATAAAACCTAAACATTGTTAACATTACAAGACTTCAAAAGAAGATAATAGTCAAACCAGAATTGGGCATCATAGTGAATCTTATTGCCTTCAAAGTAGTTGTCTATACCCTCAAACTTGATACTATCAAACAGAATGGAACAGAGTCTAATCAGTCAAAACAAGATAGTGGGAGTAATGCAGGACTTCAAATCAAGTTAATAGGAAATCTAAGAAGTTACTATAGTATATCCAGCTACTTTTTTTTTTTGGTTTTTTCCCCTTAATTAAAAAAATAATATAAATAAATAAATAAATAAATATTTTTTAATGAATAAGGGGGAGATTGAGATGAAAGAGGACATAACAACGTAACAATACAGGTCAAAGCATGACAGTTTCAGCAACCTAGTGCTGCACCACCAAATAACCTGACTTAATAGTAGTTACCATAGTGTCTTTTTCCTTGAAATATTTGAATGTAACTTCGTATACTATAGCATCAAAGATATCAAGGCAGTGTGAAACCATTCAAGTGGATGAAAGTATTACAGGCTATTTAGAACCATCTAACAGAAAATGAACAATGGTTTGCATATTATCTCTTTGCCTATAAAATTTTTTGTTTATACTATCACATATAATAAAATCCAGTAAGATACAACATGATAAAACCAAAGGAGACAGAAGAACAATAGTTTGGTGGGGCTTCAAAACAAAATGATATTAAAGCAGCACTAGCTATTATGATGTCTTGTGTTCTTCAAAATAGCTGTTCATTTCATCACAGGCAATAATATCAAGCAGTCCAGAATAAAGCCATTCCAATTAATGAGTGAAAACTTGATAAGGCTTCAACGCATACACTCTTATAGTCTATTTAGACCTCTGGCTTTATTTTTTGTATCATCTTCTGTACATCTTGGGTCAATTAAGATTGGTTATAGTTTCATACTGTTCTATGATTTGTGGCATGATCTACAATGCATCATTTTCATAGGACTGAGCATCTACATCTTGAGAAATGGAATCAACTCTTACTTTGGGTTTGGATCCATTATACAGCTGGACAGCATGCTCTGCCACTGAGACAGGCTGTTTAGAATTTGGAAGTGAAAATACAATCATACCCTCTACCCCAGTTGAGTAGCGGCTGGCACCTTTCCATTATCCAGTATGAAGATCCTGCCAAAGGACCCTTCCTTAATCTTTTCCTTTATTTGATTAAATTGTCTTTCTGCTGCTGTAATACCATCCTCAGTAGAATTTTTTTTAAAAAAATAATGGTATATACTGGCAAATGAAGTGCATCATGAAGAGTAAATTTTGTAAAGCTTCACCTTTTTGTTTTTATAATTGAATTTTGAGCATACAGTGAACATACTCAAAAATCATTTAACCTTCAAGGTTATGAGGTATTCCTGTGGTAAAGGAAACATGAAAAACCTTGGAAGGCAGCCCTTGTATAAGGCAGACTGTTGTCAGTCTGAAGAGCCAACAGGAAGCCTAGGACACTAAAGGTATCCAAGCAGTGAGCAAAGATATATTTACCCACCTCACCATTGTGAGAAGAAGCAAAGATAAATCCCAAGAAAGTGTCCACTGAAACATGAACAGTGTGGAGAGTCAAACTCAGGAATGCGAATGACATCCATTTGCCAGAGATGATTGGTGTGTAAGCCTCTGGGATTAACTTCCATGGAAAGTGAGAGAAGACTTATTACACATGAATAACATTGTTTAATGACTTGTTGAGTCTGTTCTTGGGCTAAACAGAGCTGTTTGTTCAAGTAAGAAGTATTTTAATGGAATGTGGCATGGGAGGCAGTTGCTTGTTAAATGACATCCTTCAAAATATAAAGCCACCAATCTGTTTATTGCATTGTTTCCATCAGTACGAGGCCCTGATAATTGGAATGGGAAAATAAATGACCAATAAAACAGGGGATTGGTGTTTTGGAAGGGCAAGTTGGAGTGTGAAATAAGTGAAAAAGACCTTATTGACTCATATGCATAGTGACAGTTTCAATATGGTGCATCACACCACAAACATAGGCACTGTCTGAAAAAAGGTCAGTTGGAGTGGAGGGATGATCTGGCAAGGTTCATACGACAGCTCGTAATTCATTGTTTTGAGCGAAAGAAAAACCCAAATCCCATGTTCAAGAAGAGGAGGCCACTACATAACCTCTATAGCCTGATGATGACTGGTCTGTGAAAATAGAGAGAGATCCTACTATGGGGACTGAATTTACTTTTGAAGCACAAACAAAGGATATGAGAAAATCAAATTGAATTTATTTATCTGGAGGATAGTGAAAATCGCTATTACCAGGGAAGTTAGTGTATGCAGATTGCCAAGAGGATGAAAATTGCCATAGTCATTGCTGTTGGACAGAAGAAAAGGGAGTCATGATAGTTTGCATCTCACACCCAAAAACCTGAATAGCGCATTTGCTATTGCACATGCAATAAGTTCTTCTACAGCCTTATAGAAAGAAGTAATGGTTTTATGTGGGGTATATTGTATATTTAGCCATTGTAAAGGCCCCTGAGACTGCCAAAGGACCTCAGTGGACATGAATCAAGTAGGGGAGATAATTAAAAACACAGACAAAGCAGAGTCAATGCTGGAAAGTTAGAGAGCCAGATTAATTTTGTCCAAGGCAACTTTAGACTCTGATGTGCGTGTCCTTGGTGATATGGGATCTGAGTTACCCTTAAGATGTCAAAGAGAGGGCCTAAATAGGCTGTTAGCTTAAGATCTGGGCAGAGCCAATTAATATTACCAAGTATAGTCTTAAGATCAGTCAAGGTCACTAGCTTATCAGTTTGAAACTCTATAATTTGTAGCACAATATGTCTTTGCTGGATGTTGTAACACAAATATGAAAAAGTGCCATGGTTTGCATGTTTTCAGGAGACAACCACTACCAATATTTTATTTTATTTTATTTTTTAAATTAGAAATGACCACCGAGTATATTTTGTTTATTGTTTATGATTTACACTGAAAATGATGGGCTGGCATTGTAGAACAATAAACCAATCATTACATTTAGACTGGGCTTTCAAAAAACTTGCATTCCATTTTAACAGTTCATATGTATTTAACAGCTTATGTATGAGTCCAGATCACAAACAAGAGCTAGCTTAAAGATAAAACAAAAAACAACAGAAAACACATGAGTCTAACTTTAAATATCAGCATTCATATTGCATAAAATAAGACAATATTCAGAAAAATAGAATTAGGTCAAATCACAACATAAAATAAGAGAAATAAATGATACTTTATTAATATTCATACTTATTTCTAATTTACCTTCAGATATTCTTAACTCTTTTTTCAAAAGGATCCAAGGCAAGATCAAATATTTTGGGGTCTGAATGTGTTAGTCTCAGCTTATACAGACTTGTTACAACAAAACTTCAATCTTCTTTAAATTTAAACCAACTATTTTTTTAACTTTCGCCTTTGTAGCAGCTGTTTGTAAATAGTAGGGAGTCAATAATACAAGACAGTAACAGATTGAAAGTAAAAAAGCACAATGGCTATCTTAAATTCAGCTTCCAACACTGCTAGTTGAGCTTGCAACCAAAACTTCCTAACAACTGGCAGATAACTGCTAAATCTTTGCAAGAAAAAAGAAACACATGTATTCTTTGGGATAGCTGCTATCTAGGAGAAAAAAAAAAAAAAAAAAAAAAAACAAGGTACCTTAATACTGTCCAAATATAATGTGTGGCTTATTACAAACAGATCTTCAGTATGTAAGTTTAACCAGTGTCACGACTGATCAACACTACTTGAAAGGAAACAAACAAAAAATCATACTAGCCACGAATTCCCACAATATACACATGAGAATTAATTTTAATGCGACTGATTCCTTGACACTAAATGATCATCAATGAAATATGGTATGGAAAGATCACATAGTAGAAAACGGGCAAAGATTAGTTTATACAACAGTGACTATATACATCCCAAGGAAAACATGCTAGCTAATGCAACATTAAGGCCTGAATGTAAGCATTTCCAAAGTCACAGAAGCCCCAAAGAACCCCTAAATTACAAATTCACCACATTACATGCATGCAAATGTTCACTTTTGTTTTACCCATAAAAGGATACACAGTATTTTGCTGTAAATACCAGACACATTTACAATATATGCAAAAATTAGAATGCAAGTGTTATGTTCCTTATATTTAAGCCTCAAATGTGGCAACAGTGAAAATTCATTTAAGAATGGAAAAAAAAAGACACAAAATAGAAATACTCAGAAAATTACACAAATAAAATGAAATTCTGCATTTGGAAAGCCATAGAAATATTCCTTAAACTAAACTTGTTGATGGACCACTTGGATGGATGTACACTCACTATGTGCTTTACTATTTTACTGCTCAAATGTGATATCCTAAAAGCCATTGTTTTCTAGTGTTGATTATCATACCACATCTGAAGTTAACTATTATGTCCATACTTGTACAAACCTGCCTACAGTGTGTGATCACCTAAGTAAGATAAGCTGTGCAATTCTGGTTTGGGGTTAGATAGCTAAAGATGACCCTGTGCAAAATTTTAGAACTCCCCAAAATATTTCAAAACCAAAATCACTTGAAACTAAATAAATCCAATACTTACTGAGTAAATATGCCAGTAGTGCTCTGGACTTTCAAGTATAATTTTAACCGAGTACAAACAGGTTGAGTTAAGATCAACCTATTTCATAAGGCCATCTAATTTACCTCATTATACCAAGAATTGACACACCAAAATCTTCATATACTTTATCCATCTTTACAGTAAGCACTCCCACTGTTTATTAAATAATTTACAACCTACTTTAGGGAGGATTGTATGTAAGATTTTAAATTATGCGATATACTGGCCATAATTTTAGCCTTTGGCATTGAAAAATCCCAATGGTAAACAAAGAAGGAAAAGTAGATACATTTCTAAAAATCTCAGTATTATGAATCAAAAAGTTTCAGTACAGCAAAAACAAAGGGCCCAGTGAAAAACATGCTTTATAATTTATTTCCAATGAGATCAAACATTACTGCTGTTGTGATCACAGTCTTCACATTTGATGAGAACAGGAGAGCTTAACTATAATCTCTTAGTGGCAGTTCTTTAGACAAAACCAGTAACAGGTGCCACATAAATGACTCTTTTGGAAAGAATTAACTGATAAGCTTGACTCTACAATTAATATCAACATATTCAACTAAATAAAATGATGCACTGCTTTAACATTCAGCTTGAAAATGTTTAGTACTTCTGCAAACCTAAATTCAGTTTAGAAAGTATTCTCTTTCTAAACTATGGCATAGACTATATATAGCATTTTAATATATTTATATATAATTATTTGCACATCAGATTTAGAAGAAATTTGAAGATTTATTTTGATAGACTGATCTCATTTCCACTGTTAAGGTTTAGGGGGCTTCTGCAGTGCTGTCAGTTGAAGGTGGGGCATCAGGCTCAAACTCAGAGGAACCAGCTGCAGACGTTTCAATAACTGCAGGTGGGAAATGGCAGCGGCACACAGGGCATGTTCCCGACTTCTGTAGCCAAATTGAGACGCAAGGTTTGTGAAAGAAACAGTGACAGGGTAACTCTGTTGCTATATCATTCTTTATATATTCACTGCAACAGATTGGACAGCACTGCTCCTGACCAATAGCAGTGTGATCTTCAAGAACAAGGGTCTCTGGCAGGACATCGATGCTCTCCTTACTGGCTGGTGGATTGGCCACCTCCACATCCACTGCCAGGGACTCTAAATGTGCCAGTGCAGTCTTCATAGCCTGGGCTAAGCGCTCTTCCAGTGCCATGCAGGTGAGGAACTGAGGATCCACATAAGAAATAGCTTCAGCAACTCCAAGGCCATCTGCAAAGCCGTCAAATAAACTCCAATCCACATCCAAGTTTTCACTCACACTGGAGTCATCCTCAAGATTGTTGTTACTGTCCAACATGAAAGCTTCTGGCTGTGCAAATTCATTGGCGGGCTCATTTCCCTCATCATTGCTGCTTTCATTGACTTCACTGTACCGCGGCCAAGGAATCTCTCCCTCTTCCAAGGATGTCTGCTCCCCTTCCTGCAGAGATAATTCTTGGTTTTCTTCTTCGGGGCCACTGCTATCACTCTGCAGCTCAGGTTCATTCTTATCTTTTCCTGGCAGAGTCTCCAGCTTTCATCACTTGAGGACTGATCTTTTTCTGAACCAGAAAATCGATGAGGCAAAGAAGCAGGACCACTCCCCATCACTACATTCTGAACTATCTTCATCTCTGTCAAAGAGCTGGTAATAATCTCTGCAGCCATTCCAAAAGGCACTGTCCCGAACTTCTTGCTTTCCTGCTGCAGCTCTATTTTCAGATGTTATATGGTTTTCTGTTTCCTGTGGTGTGACTCTTGCATAAGGAAGATCCAAGAATATACAGTCATGCTCTCCATCATCATATTCTTCACATTTTATTAAGCGGTCATCTGAGCCACATTCCTCAACTTCCAAAGCCTCCCTCCATCTCTGAACAGTTTTCTGTTTAGTTTCATGCCTATTAAAACCTATACCAATACCTATACCTATACCAATATTTTAAATCAATCACCATGGGAGAAAAATGCAAAGGAATGGATACAGGACTAGTTAAATTTGTTAAAAGTGCTCTCATAGCTTCCATGGTCTTATTGACATCCCACAAATCTTGTGATACTCTCCATTTCCTTAATTATTTTTATTAAGAATAATTGGGTTATTCCAAGGGCTATTGGAGGTTCTAGATATCCTGCCATCATGTGTTCACTAACCAGTGAATGAACTGTTATTAGCTTCTGAGGTAGGGGCCACTGATCAACTCAAACAGAATCACCAGACATTGAAGTTAGATTGGATCAGGTAGTAGAAGAGATCAAGTCCCACCTTAGAATGTGAAAGTGAGTATCCTGTGCCAAAGTGGTTCTTCCTTGGGTTTATTAGAAGGGGTCCTCTCCTTCCTTGATTGTTTTTAATCAATCCTTGAGTGGGAAGAAAACCTTGTTGTAACATCTGATGAGTCACCAAATAGTTAGGGCTAAACAGAAATGCCCACTTATCATTTATTATACATCAGTACCCTATAAAGTAACTGGTATGTGGTAGAGGACATAAGGTGGAAAATATCCAAAATGACCTTCTGCATCCCTCCATGGTAACAATTTTGCAGCTCTATTATGGTGAGAAATATTGCCCACACCCTGTAGACCTGTAGTTGGCACATCCAAAGCCCATGCCATTGGTCAGTGCTTTGGGGAAATAACCAAAATCTCCACTCCTATATCTAAAGTCCTATAAATGTCTTTCCTTCAATATTAATTCCATCTCAGGATGATCTTACTTAAGCTGTTGAATCCAATACACATCGAAAGACCTAAAACACTTAGATCCCCTTTCCTTGTTTGTAGGTTTTCCAATTTTTGTTAAGAGAATAACCAATTGAGCAATATGAGAATCTGGTGTGATTTGAACTGTGTTCTGAGTAGTTTGAACCATAACCTTGATTTCTCTTGTGTAGTCAGCCTCAATGGCACATGGAAAAACCTGAAGACCTTTTAATGTGAGACTGCAACAACCTAGTAGTAGACCCACTGTTCCTTTAGACAAAGGCTCATAGACTCCAGTAAGAATAACTTGGGGTCCCATTTCAGGACTGTGTTTGAATTTGGAAGAGGAACTGAGTGCCAAGCCTCTGCTATTTTTTCCTGCTTGCCAGATATCAGAAACATACTTGGCAGCAGAGTGTTAGGCTGGAGAGGAATTAAGGAAAGCACCCTCATTGTTTGATGAGGCCCAGGCAGGCCCTGGTGGAAGTTTCACGAAATGGGCCAGCCTTCCATATGTATTGTTCCTCTACAGTCACTTTCCCAATGATATCATTGATAACACCTTGTACAGATATGAGATAGTTTTATAGAAGAAACAAACAATGACTGTACTGCCACCACAGGTGCAGCAAAAATCAAGTTTGAGCAAGATGTCCTCCCTGCAATGATAACAAGTAACTTGGATTTTCTCTTTCCTTTAGGCTGTGGGTTTATGATCTGAATGAGAGCTGCTGCTAAATCATCCCCCTATACATTGAGGGGCAAATATCTGCACAAATTTGAATCATCTCAGACAGTGTAGGTAACCTTTTGTGGTCTCCTAAAGCTTCTTTACATAATTTATTTGCATTTTCAAAACATAGTTGTTGAGCTATTAATTTACTCACTATTTTGTCACTTAGAGAAGTCTGTCACTAGCTTGTAATAAGCATGCAGCAAAATCTTGAAATGGTTCATCTAAATCCTGATAAATAGATGTCAAATTCAGGGAGATCCTTCCTCCTTGAAGGGAGTTCTCTCCTAGCTCAAGCGACTGTCATTCTAACTTGGTCACACATATGTGTATCAAAAGCAATCTGTTTGCCCATAGCAGCAAAGACATATTCTTCTGATCAACATATCTTTTGTAAGAGCTATGTTCTGAGGGGCATTGGGCATGGCCTAGTCCATGCAGAATTAAAAAAAAATTCCTTTCCACAACAAATAATCCCCATATTTTATCAATGCCTTTCCAATCATTTGGGGATGTCATTACTGTTCTAGGAGCTATAAGAAACCTAAGATAAATGGGGCTTTAAGACCACAGGTGATGGTAACCTTTTTTAATTCTTTTAATGACTTGAACTCTATGGGTTCATGATGAAATATAATTTATCTCAGATTAATGGGACCCAAGGTTCTGTAAGTGGGTAAATGTGTTGAAAACCCTCCATGTACTTCCTTCTGTGTCTGGCTTCCTCTAGTACTGGTTGAAAGGGAGACAGAGAAAACATCTCTACTCCTTGAGAAGCTGAAGTTACAATTTGTAATAAGGAAAGTTTTGTTTGAGCTGAAAAGGCAGGAGTTACTGCTTTTGGTTCCGTTAAGGTTACCAGGGTTGTGGTCTGGTGATCCTGCTGTCACCTTTCCCCTGTTTAGGACTTGATTCTAAAATAGTGCCTAGAGCCAGTTCCATTGTGATTGTCTCAAGAAGCTTACAACTATTAAGATCGTGTCTAATCCAGATCCACAGAAGGAATGTAAATACTGGAATCAAGCATGTAACAAACAGATCCTCATACATTTGTGATTCTTTCAAATATGTTTCTTGTTAGAGTTTTTGGCACAATAAAAAAGAAAGATATAAAGTTAAATACTGACCTTTATTCCAAGGATGTGGAAAGGAGTCTATGGCCATGGACAGCCTAGCTTCCTCTGACCAGAATGTGGGGTATGGGATATACATATAACCTATGACTGGGGTTGGCTCTTATGGTGGGCATTGATGATGTGCAAGGAGCTGATTGGACCTTTTTGTCATGCGCACTGGGAAAGGAAAAAGGAGGTCACAGTAGGGGAAAAGGGGAAGGCCCAAAAGTGACCCCAAAGTAAACATTCCTTGATCCTGCCTCCCACCACCATAATATTGTGTATCTTATTCTAGGGCAAAACTCTTTCATTTTTCCCATAGCTAGACAGCTGATATAGTCAATATACCCCTTTTATTGGGGGGAGGGGTTTCTCAAAGGCCTGTTTATAACTGGTCGTGGGAATAAGGGAGCTTCAGTGCCCCACTCTTTACACCTGATGAAGCCAATATCAATACACTCCTGTGATGACTATTGACTTGTACCAATGCATTTCTCCCCCTAGTTGCATACACATGGAAAGTGTCCCCTTCACCACAATCTCTTATCCAGTCCATATTCAGGCACCATATGTCACAACCCATGTGGATTCTGAGGTTCTTGGGGTGAAGGAATATGAGAGAATAAAAAATAAAGAAAAGACAAATCTGGGGTCAGGTGGAGCCCTTACTCTCTCGATTGGAGAAATGGTATTGCTCAACCAATGCAGCATATTTATTTATACCCTAGGAAGGATAATGTCAGTTTCAGCCCCTCTACTAGCAACTCATTGCTTGGATTGTCTAGGAATTTGGTATTTTCCTGGGTTGTAGCAACTTCTTCACATGGCTGACCTGGGTGTTCTTCGTTTTGGTTAGGGTCATATCTGAGCCATCCCCTAAGTAAATATCCAGCTTCAATGCCTCCAACATATCACATTGTAATGAAGGAGTAGAATCCTCAGGAAGAATGAGCTTTTCAAACATTTTTACTTTGAGATGCATGGATTTGTTTGATTTCATTTTGAACACCAAAAGACCTTTTTTCTTGCAGTTAGGGACTGTGGCTTTTGACTAATAAGTTCCCATTTCTGGCTCCCTATGTGTGTGTTGTGTATCCTTAATTAATAGTGCAACAGGAAGAGGGTAGGTGCCCACAGAGAAAGACCGTTCAAATGCCTGCCTGGCTGTACCTCTCATGTGACTTTACCCAGGAGGAAGTAAGGCCTATTTTATGACTTCTGTTGATTGCTGTGGAACTGAAAGTGAAGTCCTAATCACCCATTGCAATCAGTGCTTCCCAACCTTGGTGCACAGATAAAATAATCTATGACTTATGCTCTCCATTCCAGCAACTCACACATTTATTTAGCATGCTCTCTACTCAGGTTGAGCATCCCAATCACCTTTCCTTGAGAGTGCCCTGACTCATCATGTGATCCAGTTCTTTTTCTGCTGAAATTGAGCAGGATTCGAAGAATAACTGGGGAGCTTCTGGAGGGTCTTACCAAAAGCAGGCAGGCAGGCAGGCAGGCAGGCAGACAGACAGACAGACAGCATCCTCCTTTTTTGCGTCTTATGTGAGTTGCTCAGAGGAGACATAGGAATCCTCTTGCAGACCTCTGAGAAGGAAACTTGAGAAATCTTGAGGGTGTGCCTTCTCTTTGGAACTCAGAGTAGTCTTTGCTCTGCCATGAGGCCCATGAAAAGTGACCAAAGATTTCAATGTGATTCCTCTTCCTAACCAATGCATCAGATACAATAATAAGTAGAAACACTGAAAAGACACCAAGGACTTTGAGGCCGATTTATTTATGTCAGTGAGTACTGATTAGGATCAGTCCCAAATTATGAAACCCAAAGACTCACAGAGGGAGCCTTTTATAGGGTTGAAAGGGGAAGTACAGAAGTAGAGTATTGGGATGTCACTGATTGATTCTTACCATATGCATCACACTAACCAGCTTTTCAATGCAACAGAAGCAAGTGGAACTGCAACAGGAACTATCACCTGTACAAGTAAGAAACTGAGGTATACTGGCTGGGAGGGGGTCATTTTATGCTACAGTTTGATTCATTATAAAGAGCATACTCTCATGAAGTCAGAAAAACAACAGTAAGAGAAAATAGTGGGTGATTTTTAAGCACATGTATTTTGATGCATGACCATTGAATTTAAAAGCTGACTCTAGTATTTTATGGTTTGATAAATTTAGATAATTTACACATTATCTTTCATAGTCCTTTCTTTGTCTTCAGAAGAATAAGCCTTGTGGTAAGACCACTGTAGAAGCTACCCTATTGGTGCAATGTAGATAATGAGAATGCCTAGCTTACAGCATAAAATAACTATGTGATATTATTGCTATCTGATATTTCTAATTACCAAGTTAGAATTCACTCTGATTCTCTAATTTTGATAATAATTACCCTTACATGATAGTATGTGATGAAATATTTTAACCCATTTTATGTGGCTGTACATATTATTTTATTTGTTGGTATTGAACCAGCCAAATACTTTAGATTCTGTTAGACTGAATAAAACTCTTGAGATATTAAGCAAAGTAATATAAAACAAGCAGAAAGTCATTGGATTTGGAACAACTATGTTGGGAACACATGACTTTATGCTGGCCTGTGAGTCAGTTCTCACTTGTCCTAGAAACACAGCATAAAGCCATTTGTGAGGTGATAATTTAGCTTCTCACAACAAAATGATCAATAAATGCAGTCAGACAAGATTCAGGAGAAATGCAATACACAGTCAGTGGTGATCAAAATTGAGAAACCCTAACCCATCAGAAAAGGAGCAACAGCATAATAGCATGTAAGCACTGTATTATCTCCCAGACTGCAATATGTGTTGGGTATTTCCATTACAAATAAGGTCATTGTTTTTGCATACACTGAGAAAACCTATCAGTAAAAACTGAACGGTCATTGATTTAGTACATACAGCCACTTTGGACAAATCAAAACCTAAAATTTTTAAGATTGAGTAAATTTTTTAAGATTGAGAGTACAATGATTATCATAATGAATATGTTCACTTATGTCAAACAAATGGCCCAAAAATGCTCCACACTCACATTGACATATTACATATTTTAACAATTGATCTTTTAAGGAAGATAAAGAATTCTACTTTTTAAAAAAGTAACCAAATTAGAATCATTAAAAGTATTGCAGATATTTCAGAGAGAAAGAAAACTTTACAAATGGCTAATACAAGAAAGAAAGAAATTGTGTGACACAACTATGGTAGGACATTGTATTTGAATCTACACAAAAAATTTAGCAGCATTTTGGGGCCCACAGCTGTAGAGTAGCCAAGATCAGTGAGAGACAGGTGTCAGAAAAAATCACATGGGCATTTGAAGCCTAATGTCCACCTGGGTGATAAAGATCACACCGGTGTTCTACAATAGTGATATGATGTAGAAAATGAGGAATAGCTCAGAGTGGAGCCTGCAGCTCAGGACAATCTGTGACGCCCAGAAGAATAAATTCATTCATCACTGTGACATTGCATTTTTCCATATAGTTTATTTGGGATAAAACCATCATCATGTTCATTAGCTTTCCTATATTATCACCTGAGAGGCTTTTGTGCATGCCATGCTAGTGTAAATACACTACATTCAAAATTTTACACTTACTGTATTCGAATATTAACTCAACTTACAAATATTAGAATGTATGTGTGCAACTTGTAGAGCAGAGGTAGACTATTGGTTTTTTTGAGTTTGATTTTACTCAACAAAGATCAATGCCCAGGTCTAAGAACGTACGTTTTTCACAAATGAGAAACGAGCTGCTATTTGATTTAATTATTAAAGACCAGTAGATAGTACAGTCAATTTCCAGCCCATACTATTTGTATTTTTAATGTTTAAAATATTAACAATAAGACAGATTGATAGATATATAAATTGGAAACTTCAACAATTTCAAGCAAAGATAAATTTTTAAGACTTTCATATTTAAATTATAATTACATTATTCTTTACAGTTTTTCAACTATATAACTGCAAACTCATAATGCCATTTATAAATTACTAAAACAATGAGGAATAATAATTCAGTAATATAAATACTTACAAAAGTATTTAGAAATTCCTCAGGCAAAACAGAACCTATTCAAGCCTTTACAGCAATGAATCATGACATGTGAATACATGATAGATAGTAAGAAAACTTCAGTGTAGGTATTAAATTTATAAGACAAAACATGTTAGAATATATAATTAAGTGAACATCATCAAAACTCTAGTTGTGGTGTATACAAAGGCTTTCTGGGTTAATAATGAATGGTATTTATAATTCAGTGTTCTCATATGCATAAGGAATATGTATTTGTAGGTTATAAAGTAGGAAAGACTGAGGATTAAATGATTCAAGTAATTCACTTATCTGTCTTTCTAGCTTTCTATGTATCTGTCTTGCAAATATTTAAAATTATTAGCCCAATATATTTTAAAATAATGGAAGAAAAGACACACGGTAAATATTACAATGAAAACGGCTATGATGATATATATGAGTACCCTATAAGTAAAAAGAAAAAATACAATGTTACCATATCCAATGTAGAGTAGATTATATGTAAGTAGCATGTAAGTTAGTATAACTAATGAGTGTAAGGAAGAGACTTCCTTCTCTTCCCCACTTCAATGCATACACCTATCCTGTTTCAAATATGATGTTTTAAAAATTTGAGGTTGTTTTAATGTAATATGCATCTAAAGAATACTACTAAACTGAGAATCACAAAATTAAGGTATGTCATATATCAAGGAAGCACGGAAATCAATATATAAGTGGTCATATAAACGCATCAAAATCCAATTAGTTTTCTCAGACCTGATATATTGTTGTAGAAAACTGAATCAACAGCAGGCAGGAGTTCAGGAGAAGAAACGAAACTTTAACACTGGCAGATCCCAGAGGAGTAACCTCAAAGTCTGAAGTGCTGATTAAAGACTGTTTGGGTTGCAAGCAGCAATTACAAAAAACGAGCTGCAGGCCATGGTACAGTGGATATCTTGGGGTGAACACTGCTGTATGTAGAAAAGGTTTGTTTTTGTTGTTGTTATTGGTTTGTTTATTTGCTTTTTTTTTTTTTTTTTTTTTTTTTTTTTGGTCTTTTTGCGATGCTTTTGAGACCCTTCTCCCTAGGCAGTTCAGGCTGGTATCAAACTCACTTTGTTGCCCAAACTGGGCTCCAACTCCCAAGGATCTTCCTGCCTCAGCCTCCTGAGTGCTGTGATTACAGAAGTGCACCACCACATGCGGCCAGGAAATATGAATGCTGCATCACATTTTTAGATAATTATTTGCAGTAAACACAGGAAAGTATAGTATAAACCTAATTTTACTCTTTATAGTTGTGTTGTATTTTATTTTGTCACAAAAATTTAAGAAACGAATCTGTACATGGAATCATTTTATAAAATGAAAAATAAGTGTTTCACCTGTCGAAGTTTGACACAAACATTTTTTCATATAATATTGCCTGTTTCGATAACTGATTGGAATTATCTTTCAAGCTGTACTTGAAAATATTGTATGATTTTCATATGTCCTGCTGAAAATTTAAGACCATTCTGAACATTATATGAATAATGTAAAACTTTAGTATCTCAAAATCCCTACCAGGTATGCTGCGCAGAAATGAAAGCGAGGTACTCTTCAAGATGTCAGATGGGATCAGATCTGTAAATCTATTTAAAAATCATTAAAATGTACGTTAAAGCCTTAAGAAGGTCACAAAACTCCTGCAGCGGGTCTCTAAGTATGTACCCAGAAGGACCATGGAATGAGAGACAGTCGCTGGAGTTTTGTAATTCTGTCAGTAGACAAAACAAATAAATAAACGTGTTTTTTTGTTTTGTTTTTTTAGCTCGGCGTCCCTTAGCCTGGCGTGGGCTCCTTAGACACGGAATCCCGGGGGCCCCGCGGCCGCTCCCTCAGTTTCTCCCACGGTCCGCGCGCCAACCTGGCCCGAGTCCGCTCTGGCTCTGGCGGAGGCGGCCCGCTTTCCTCCCGCACCGGCTCCGGGCCGTCGTCGCCCCGCTCCGCGGGAAGGTCACACCCACCGGACCCGGTCGGCGAGGGCGCAGGGGGCCGGGTGAGGCGCTGGGAGCCCGGCGCGGCGGCCCGCGCCCCTTCCTGCCGGCCGGGACGGAGACCGAGGGCGGGTGGGCGGCCGGGCGGGTCCCGGCAGGGGGCGGCGCCACCTCACCCGGAGCGGGAGGAAAGGGCGGGCCGGGCGGAGCAGGACGCCCGGCGCTGACGCCCGCCGCTTTCCCCCGCCGCGAGGACCGAGGGGCTCACAAGCCGTCGGCGTAACTCTACTGCAGGTTGGAAAAAGCAGCCTCCTCCTGGGAAGTACCCTGAACCCCGAGGGGCCGCGGTCCCGGGAGGGGTGAGCTGGGGCGACGGGGGCGCGGCTGCCCTTTGGGAGAGGACCCGAGCATGCGCCTCCTGCCGGCCGCTTCTGTTAGGGACTCCGGGGAGGAACCGCGCCTGCGCTCAGAGGAAGCCACAGGGGTGCGCTCATTTACCGCTCTGCACCAGACTGCCAGGAAGGCCCCTGGGGCCGCTCTAGGGAGAGGTGCTTAGTTAGATTGCATTTATTTAATTTCTAAACGGCGCACTGATTTGGATGTGCACAGTGTAAGTAGTCATTTGGTAGCTGATAAAATCTTTTCGTATTGCCGGGCGTAAAAGTGAGAGGGAACAAATTAATCTGTCTTCTTCCATGACGAGTAGTGACCCTAGAATACCAGGCTGAAATGGGAGATGGAACACTGAATGGCTGCCTTATTACTAGGCTCTGTAGCCGTGACAGTCTACACTCAGGGAATTAGTTGTTGTTCTGTTAATAGAAGGCATGTGCTTAAAAGTTACCCTTTCTGAAACTCTTTGGCCTTTATTTTTCTAAAGAAACCAAGGCTAAGTTAAGTTGGTTGATCATTTCTCATTCCAGGGCTGTTAGTATTAAACCTAAATCCTGAGGAAGTTTCCAGAGAAACAGTGGCTTTAAGATGCGGCTCCTTAGGGCAGATAGAAACTAAGAGGGAGGAAGTTTTTAATATTTACAAAGTGAACAGAGCCAACAACATTAAATGCATTCTACTAAAAAAGAAAAAGAAAGATTAGGGCCTTCCAAGGAAGTGTAGAGTCTTTAGTTAAGAAAATACAGTATGTTAGGTACAGCCAAAGAACAAGTGTGACATTTAAAGCTTTCACATTTGGAAGCAGTGCTGAGTATCCCTGGCTGGAGAGACAAAGCAGAGCCTAAGTGTGGTGTCCAGGCAACGCAGTTAGGAAATGGCACTGTCAGCAGAATCCAAAGTCCAGTTACAAAGCCGGTGCTGAGCTCTTGGCACAGGGTCTGGGCCTGACAATTGGATTCTGTTTTGAGTGAGTGAGATTTTGTGGGCAGAGCCTCAAAGACTTTCTGAAAGTGTCACCTGTGGAGTCTTGCCTTTATTAGCATAAGGGGCATTTGGAAATTCAGTCTTTGTGCACATAAAAGGCTCTAAGGAGAAAGAAAAGTGATGGAAGGAAATTGAAATGATTGAAATAATTCATGTTGTGTGCAGGGGAAAGCAAAGACTTCTAACAAGAGTTTCAGGAATTACCTTAGCAGATAGGCGGATTGTTTTGTGCATGGCAGTTATTCTGGGTGGAGGCGGAGAGGGTCGCTCAGTGTTAGAGTGTTGGCAAAAGGTGAGGGAGTCCTTGGATTTGATCCCAGCCCCATCCAAAATAAATAAATAAAGAAAAAGGCTAAGACGTTGTTTCTACTGTAAAATAACTATTAAATGCACAAGAAACCTATTGCCACTAGGTTAAGTGAAGAAACAAGATTTTGATATTAGAGAAATCCATTCTTAAAACTAATTCTATCAGAGGTAAGTTGAGAATGCAGTGTATCAGCTTATCAGCTAGTGAGGATGTGCTCTGAGGGAAGACAAACTCACTACTAAAACTCTCACAGCCAGCTTTAACATCTGGTTTAGCTCTTCAGAGTCATCACTTCTGTTGCTGGGTAGAGCCCAGATGCTTTCTGTTGTATAATTACAATATAAACTCTTAGCAAAATGGTAAGATGTCCAGGAAAGCTGTGGATTTGCTTTTACACCAAAATTATATTGCTAGCCTTCCAAGGATAGGGTACAAACCAGCTCAAACTTGTCTCTCTAACTAGCGAGTAAGAAATGTTTCTTTTGGCTTCAGAACATCTAAGATCCTGGTTGAGATATTTTAGATATATATTTTAATGATGAGTATAAATTAAAATAACAAGAATAATTGCTGTTTGACCCTGAACAGGTAGGTGGAACGCCTGTCTAAACCAGTCTTTGTGTACTGAGTGAAGGCACTCATTCTCAGTAAGTCCTTAACTTTAGAACAGGTAGTTCTAGAAAGAAAATTCTTAACAGTGGAGCTGTATTTTCTCTTAGAGTAGCTTTATATTTTTTCCCACCTTACCTTTTTCTGCCCTCCCAGGCATACAGTGTTAGTGTTCATTTGTTTGTTTTTTTAAAGATCATCAATTTTATTGACTTCAAATGCATAAGTTTTATTTGTTTTGCTTTTTTTTTTTTTTTTTTTTTGAGACAGGATCTCACTGTGTAGTTTTCACTGGCCTTGAACTCTTCTGTATAATCTGGAGTGGTGGCATGTTAACATTTGCATAGGTAACTTGTCCCAAGGTCATTGAAGCTTTTGGATCCCAATATTTTTGTTTCAAAGTTTTCTGTTTATCTGATCAACTTTTCCAGATAATTATTTCCCTGAGGAACCACCCTCATTTTTGATGAGTTTCCAGAAAAGCTCACAAATAATTACCCCATAGAATAACTGGGATACTGTGCTTGGATATTACGCCCTGCATTCTTACCTCACTGTCTGAGCAGGCTCCAATCTGCAGCCCATTAGAACAGGATGCCCTGGGAGCCTCCATGACAGTCCCCTCACCATGCCTCACAGCATCTAGGTGACAAGGCATGGAGATGCCATCCAGTCCTGATGGACCAGCTCAGACATGGGACTCTGCAGCCTGATGCGTATCCTCTGCTGGCAACATCTTCTCCCTGTTCCCCATCTGATTCTTCAATCCCAGGAACCTGGACGTTCAGGAAGCTGATGGAATTCATTGATTCCCAACCAAATGAAAATCAAGTGTAAACAGGACCATCAGGACCAGGTCACCAGGGCCCCATCCTGACTCCTCCCTCTGTCTTTCAGAATCATAAAATTCAAACTGTGATAGGGGAAAGAAGAAAGGAAGAAGAAATAATATAGTTAAGATAACTGTACAGCTAGCTTTTATTAGTTCCTTGAGACAATGTTTTGTGCTAACGTTGTTTGGTGAGATAGCATGTCCACATCCTGTGTTCTGAATAACTACTATGAAGAGACCATACAATATATCAAGTATTATAACTGTCCTACTTATGTATTTTGAAAGTTACTTTCATTGTTTATTTATCTTGTTTTACTCTTTAAAATAGAAAAGATTTAAAAATTTACAGCATTTAAAATTTTTGTTTATTTTTTTTACTTTTTTCAAATATCTTTCCGTTTTTCTTTCCATTTTTGACTTTTTAAAAAAATTCTTGGAATTAAAATATTTTGATGGAAAATAAATTTGTGGGATTTTTGTTGCTTCTATAGAGATAGCAGAGGGACAGTTAGGCAAAGACAGAAAGGGGTCAGGGACTGAATGGGGAATCAGAGGGCACAGAGCTCTGGCCCCACAGCTCCAGGATTTGCTGGCAGAATTCTTTAGATCAGACTGAGTTCCATGGATTTCTCCTCCTCAGTACTGTTTCAGAAGAGAAACTGCTGTATGCAGAGCTGAAGCCCCAGGCCAGGACCCTGTGGGGATTCTCATGTTCAGGCAGCTGGGATTCTAGGTGTGATGCAGCCATAGCCTCTTCAGCCGGAGCTGCTCACTGTGTGCAGGGCTCCCCTCTGCAGAATCTTTGGGGAGAGAGCAGCGGGCACTGAGTGTGTGCCCCTTGGCCACTGTTTTCTCCTGTGAGACCTGCCCCTGCCCAACCCTCCCAGGACTGTAATTACCATATTTCTCAACTGGGGCTACACCATCCTTGGTGCATGGGGATCTCACAGTGGGCTCCTCAGCACAACTCTGTACAGCGCCCTTAAATTCATCCTGACAGGATCTGCAATTTTTCTCCAGGCACAGAACCACCTCCTGTAGCACAAGCAGCTTTACCCAGTGGGAGAGGAGTTTGGTGGCCACCCTGACCCAGGATGAGATGTCCATCTCTACCTGCTTCTCTCCATGGGAACTGCTGGTTGATATGTGTCTCCTCCTGCTTCACTGTTTCCTGCTCCTCTTCCTCCCTCTGCTCTTTTCCTTTTTCTCCTTCACTTCCTATTTTTGTCCTATCTGTTTGTCCTCCTCCTCAGAATTCTTCTTCTTCAGGATTGTTCCCTGATTAGGGAAGATGACAGTGTGCTCTGCTGTACAAAGGAGAACAGTAGTCAGAGGTCACTTGCAGGCTTCCCCAAATCTCACACCTTACAGTCTCTGTTGCAGGGGCTCTGGCTCAGCTCACCAGTGGTGCTGGAATCACCAAAGAGTGAACAGCGTACCATGATATTCCAGCTCTGTCAGACTCTCCTTGATAATTGTCTTCTCCTGCAAGACCTGCACAAAAAAGGAGGAAAAGAACCAGAGTCAGGACCCTGTGGCCACCTGTCCTTCCCAGCCTGGTGGAACAGCCTCACCTGCAGCTGCACTGTGGCCACATAGTCACCACTGCTCCTGGCTGTTGAAGCCTCCTCCACAAGTTTGTCCTGGTTTAGGAATGCCAAGTGGACGAGGCTCTGGCATGATTGCCTCTGCACCCTTGCGTGGCTGGGGCTGAGCCCTTGGTTTCTGCACATGGACAGGACCTATATAAATGATGGCCTTCTGTGTAGTCAGGGTGTGATTCTGTGGGGGGGGGTGCTCTGGATAATGAAGAGCCTCCTTTCTGCCACTGGCATCTGTTGTTTCTAGGGGATAGGGTGTGGCCATTCCTTCCCTAGAAGGTCCAGAGAAATGAGGGCAAGGGGAAACCAAAGTATTGGAGTGTCCAAAGAGACCTCAGAGGCAGGCAGAGAAGGAGACACAGGGAGGGTCAAAGCAGAGCCTGGCTCACCCCAACTTCCATGTTTTCAGTAGCAGTGCTGTTGGGCTGAGGGTTCTTCATGTTCCTTTCCTCCACATTCCTTTCATTTCATATTGGGAGCAGTCAGTTATCCCCAGAAGGGAGGGAGAGCAATCCTGGCTTCCCCTTTACCCATATCACCAGGTACCCCAGGGCTACCACCCTCTGGAAGAGAATGAGCAGCCCTCTGACATCTCTTCCATCTCTACTCTTTTTCAGAGTGCTCCTCAGCCCATCCAGCACTGACACCTCCACTCACCTCCCCAGGGCAGTGCCAAGTCTCTCAGTGGGGCTTACTCCTGCTTCTACAACCTGGAGGATTGCAGGATTTCCTGTAGCTAAGGATGAAAAGCGAGAAGTCAGAGGAAGCCAGGGCCTCCCAGGCAGAAGACCTACATCAGCAGCTCCATCACCTGAGTCTTGTGCGAAGATTTCCAGGGCCTTGTTCTCTTCCATGTCTTTGAGCTGTAGCTGCATCATTAGGTGGGTGAAGTGCAGAAGCTACTTTTGAAGAGTCTTTCTTGGAGACCAGCTGTAAAGAGGCTTCACCATGCTGGCACAGGATGCCTAAGAGCTGGTCTCTGCTGCTGGAGATTCTGGGCCTCTTGGATCCTCACTGCCACCAGAAGAAGACCCACAAATTAGGGCATGAATCACCTGAAGCTTTAACAGTCTGAGCTCTGAAATTCAGTGAGGGCCATCCAGAAGCACTAGCCTCCTGCACCCAAACTCATGACTTGGAATGTCTGATCCTTACAACAGGATTTAGTGCCACAGCTGTGAAGAATCAGATGGAACCAACCTACATGTGTTAAGTGTATTCTCCTAGCCTCTGGTTTGCATATATTGTCCCACTGACTCCAACAACTCTCTGAAGAAAATGCTAAGATCCATTTGAAGTGATGGAAACTGGAGGCTGGGTGATAGGAAGCACTGAAACTGGGAACAGTGCAACAGAGAACCAGTCCATTGTGAACCCAAGGAGCATCCCCTTCTATCCTGTGTCCTCCTAGGTTTAGGTGGGTTCAGGTCTCCAGCAGTGAGATAGCATCAGGACCTAGGAAAACTCTAGAGCTACACACCTCTAATGCTCACAGGCTTAGAACAAAAGACACTCACAGAACTGCTCTGGCAGACTCTGCAGGACATTGGGTTCACTTGTCACCCAGCTGTGGGAGATCAGTTCTAGCCCCAGAGCCTCCTATCCTCATGAGCAATACCTCTGTCTTAGCCCAGTCCCATGGGACAGGAGCTACCACTGCCTTAAGCTCTGAGATCTCCCCCCTGCAGCTGCCCTGGCTTCCAAGTCAGCTCCTACTTTTGGAGCTGCTCTAAATGCAGGGTCGTTGTTCTACTGATCTTGTCTTCACTTTAAAGAGAATTGTAGTCAGTGCCTCTAGCACAGGCAGACCTGAGATCCTACCTGTGTGTCTACACCCATATGGCAGGATGGAGAATCATCTGTCTGTAGGAGATGCCCTAGCATCTGACTCATAGGACACTCCCACAATTGAGGGGAACAGTGTGTTGCAGAGAGGAAGGAGTCAGAGGGGTAACTGTGATGCTCTTCCCTGAAGGTCCCGGCAGTGAGGAGCCAAGCAAGCAATGGACATGCACCAGCCTCTGGAAGTTGTCCTGCATTTGGGCCAGCTGCTTCTTGAGACTGCAGTTCTGCACCACTAAGCCATTGATGGTCTTCTGCAGTTCTTCCATGTGCTCCAGGATGTTTCTGTGCTCCTCCACCAGCACAGCCACAACTTGGCCCTGTTCTCAAGCCTCACAAGGCCATCCTCCTGCTCCTTGATTTTCTTCTACAGGGCCCAGTTTTCTTTCTTGTTGCTATTTAGCTCCCTGAGATGTGCTCTAGCTTCCTCTTTATGTGGTTCAGCTCCCACAGCAGCCACTACTGTTCTAAAGATGGCCCTGCTCAGGGGTGCAAGGCTGGGGCACAGGTGAGAAAGGAGGCAGTGTTAAGGGTCCGGGTCTCTAGGCCTTAAACAATATCCTCAGTGCTCAGCCCCCATTATAGGCTCCTTGCTTGGGCCTTGGTTTCCTCATGACTGATTGCTCACACCCAGATCATGGCCAGGCATGAAGCCACATTTCTGAATGGGTCCTAGTTAGGGGTTGGTGGGGAGTACAATACCCCTCTCTGCAGTGGGGACACTGAGGCTCAGAGGTAGGACTAAATCGTCAACTGCTGGCACAGATGCCTTTCCCTTTACCGCTGTGCCCTTGAATCCACCCTGCTCCCTGGGGCAGTGTAAGCCCCATCCACAGTCTGGGCACCCTGCCCTCCTCAAGGGCACAGTTGTGGCCACTCACCCATGCATTTGTTCACTTTATCCAACTGGAAAGAAAGATCTGTGACCTTTCTGTATTGCTTCTCCTTTAATGTATATACCCGAATCAGGCACAGTGAGCAGTAGATAGAGGGAGGGACAGGTAACCTTAGACACTTCTGGCATCCTGTCTGTCCCATTTTCCCACCTTTGGCCCCAAGCTGCAGTACTTTCTTTGAAACTCTTCCACTGAGCAGTAACATTCCTAGCCCTCGAATGCGTTTTTCTCATCTGAAATCTGACTCCTCTAATGCAATTTTGGCCCCATCCTCAGCAGCCTGGCCAGCCATGACACAAAGCTTCATGTGGGTGACATTCATCACCACTAGTTGTCTTAAGTTTTATACTTTTTAAAAACTTACTGTTTTCTGTAATCCCAGTACTCGGAAGGCTGAGGTGGGAGGATCTTTGCGAGTTTGAGACTAGCTTGGGCTACAAAGTGAACTCAAGTCCAGCCTGAACTGCATAGTGAGACCCTGTCTCAACAAAGATAAACAAAAAACAAAAAACAAAACAAAACAAAAACAAAAAAAAGCCTTACTGTTTTGTTTACTGGAAGGTTTTTGGTTATTTGAAACTCCCTTAACTAGGGAGGAAGAAATGCAATGATACTCATGAAAACAGTAAGCTGTGTTCACATCCTCCTGTATACTTTCTATAGAACAGTCTTATGCACACCATTTGCTTAATGCTGCCAAGAGCTCTAAAACACGCTGTGATGGGCACGCAATCACTGAACAATGAGCAGTTAACATGGCTGAACAACAGAAAGGAAGAAAAAAAGACAAAGAAAAAGTAAAAAAAGAAAGATATAATGAGGATTCTCTCCAAATGCTAGTGGAACATACCATGTGTTTGCAGTTTCAAAAGAAGGGATGTAATAGCACAATTCCTGCACAAATATACATAGTCAAACTTCTAAATAGTGTCCCTTCTAATTGGTGCTTTCACTCTATGATATCCACCACAACACTTTCAAAATAATAAGTAGTAAATAAGAATAATTTCCTGTTTATATTCCAAATTTAATATGAACAATACTCTATCTTTGTTCTCAATCACTGCTTTTTGCTTTATTGCTTGATGTTCTGCATCAGGATTCAGTTCCAGGGTTACACACTACACAGAGCACAGCTCCCTGCAAACCAATGTAAAAAAGGCTACATCTCCTTGCTTTTCATTTTATTGTACTAAATTCACCTTATGTGAACTTTTTCTGCTCCTCTTGCCTTTATCCTAGGATGAATGCAGTCTTGGAAAAGTTTTCAATGTCATACAAGTTCTCTCTGTGGTACTTTTTTTCACCATGGTGCATTCTTTTCCCTTGTTGACTTGTCCTACACTATACTTTGACAAACAGTCATACTTTCATCAATGCTTTCATACAAAAATGTTCTGTTTTAATGTTATTTTTAGTTTTTACTAGTAAATATTTACAATGAGTTTGTCTTCTGTAGCAGATTCCTCAAAGCACACTATACTCTAAGCCCTAGATCCTGTAATCTCGAAAAACAACTTTAGATTATAGTCCCAGAGAACTTCATTCACAGTGTGTCCTGTGTGGCCCATCCCGAAGGCCATGGCTTGAATGCACTTAGAAACAAAGGCAGCAATCTCTCTACTGTAATAGAGCATGCTTTTTGGAGACTACTTCCAGTGAAGTATCGAGGGAAAAGCATGCAGTGCTCTTCACTCTTGGGATGCTGCTCTTGTCTTCTTCACCACAAGCTCACACTCACAGAAGCTCCATTTTATTACTGACCTCTATGGACAAGCTCTTTTTTTATGAAAACAGGTGAAAAAGCATTGTGGTTTAGACTTACCATCCAGGGTTTACTTTTTACTCCCATATGGTTTTCTCTTTTAGTTCATTCTATCTACCATTGTGTTACCTCACATTTGGGGTGAATATTTTTAACTTTCCAGCCCCACTTCCTCTAGGTGTCAGCAGCAGCATCCATGAAAACCATCATCATGACATTCGTGGCTCCAGTTCCTGTCCTCAATTCTCCCCACATCCTTCCCCAGAATTTAGCTGTGTGCTTACAAATCAAGACGTTTCACATTCTATATGCTCTTGAGAACACATTTCATGATCCAGAATTTAATTTGTTCAATATTTGCAAATGTTCACTAATTATTTTTTAATAACTAGTCGAACTTGGTGACATCTTATACTCATTAACTGCACACAGAGTACCACCCTGGAGAATGAAGCAAAAGCAACTCAGGAGGAATGGACTAGTTTCTCCACATCACTTCTCCCATCTGCACAGAAACTGTCACTAGAAACAATACATGATAACTTTCCAGTTGCCTTACTCAGAATATAGACTGGGGTACATATTGTGAGAAGGAATCAAGAGATTATAGAATAAAATTTAGGAAAATGTATAAAATTATGTCAAGTTAACACAGAATATGTGATTCTTCAGTGTATAAGACTCCAGGGAGACTTGGAGAACGAACTGTCATTTGAAATGGAAAGGAAATCAGGAACAAATGTAGGGATTAACATATGAGGAAAGAATTTTAGAATGAGTAGATTTAGAGATGTAATTTACAATGTACCTATATTGATTGACATGGGAATTAAAATCAATTAATGAAACTTTGTGAATTGTATTTTCTTTGACAAAAAGGGATTCTGATCATGTAGGTGATTTGGCTATTGCAGAGAATGCTTATAAAAATGTTTAGAGAAGGAAATTAAAAAGGAAAGAATATTCAAAATGGAAGATTAAGTAAATGGTGAGTCTTCCCCTGAAAAAATATTAAAACTTTAACTTTTAATAAAATGTACATCATGCACATAATGGAAGAAAAGGCATAATGTAAGGCACAGAATTGGAGGATACCCATGCTAAATTAAGTTTTGAGCAAAAGAATAAATTAAGGTACACTCTTCAAATTTGTGGCCTGTTTCTTATATTATGATAGTCTTTTGTGGTTAATCTTTCTAAAGGCATTCTTGACATCCTTGTTTCTTAGCTGTAAATGGGGCTCAGCATGGGTATAATTAGTGTATAGAACACAGAAGATACTTTGTCAATATATACTGAGTGGCCCACTAGGGTGCAAGGGTGCAAGTAAATGAAGATCAGAGTATCACAGTAATCAAGTGGAGAATCCTTTAATTTTTTTTCTTTTTTTAAATTTTTATTTTGTTTAAAGAAAAAAAAACAGTAAAAGGGTACAAGTAATAAAGAATTTCAGTAAAAAACAGTAAGAAATCACTAGCTAATAGATTACACATTGTCATTGTAGAATTACTTGATCAAGTTTCAAAACTAAGCATACAAAGTGGATGTTCAACCAGTGAGACTGCAAACAGTTGTGTTCAATGATCCATCAAAAACTTGGTAATGTGGTCATCTGTCTTACACACCTAAACACACTTGCAGTTGTGTCCTTTAGAGCACTTTTTTTCCTCTCTTTTTTACAGTAACAATTACACATTTTGGGTTTTAGTACTCCCACAGTTATTATTATTTTTTTTTTGGAAGAGAATAAAACCAAATGTGACAAAACAAAGCAGTCAGTCAAAACAAAGGATGGACATCATACATGATGTAAAAATAGAATACAAGGTAATTCACAATGATTACAGTAATGCCTCTTGCTACTTTAAAAAGAATTGCCTATATCATCAGGTATGATAAAATGGAACAAAACAGCGCAGAACAAAACCAATAAAACCTAAACATTGGAGACATTATTGAACTTCCAAAGAAGATAATAGTCAAACCAGAATGGGCATAACAGTGAATCTTATTGCCTTCAAAGTAGTTGTCTATTCCCTCAAAATTGATAATATCTAACAGAACAGAATAGAATAAAATCACTCAAAACAAGATAGAGCAATACATGGCTACAAATCGAGTTAATAGGAAATCAAAAAAGTTACTATAATTTATCTTGCTAATTTTTAAAAATTTTCACTTAATTAAAAATAGTAATAAAAAATAAATAAATTAAGAAAAAGGGGGGAGATTGAGATAAAGGAGGACATAACATAACGAAACAGGTCAGAACAGAACAATTTAAACAACTTAGTGTTTCTCCACAAGATAACCCGACTTAATGGTAGTTATCATAGTGTCTCTTTCCTTGAAATATTTGAGTGTAACTTCGTATATGATAGCATCAAACATATCAAGACAGTGTGCAACCATTCAAGAGGATAAAAGTATTACAAGGTGTTTAGAACCAGCTAACAGAAAACGAACAATGGTTAATATATTATCTCTTTGCCTATAAAAATTTTTGTCTGTACTATAACATATAATAAAATCCAGTAAGATACAACATGATAAAAACAATGGAGACAGAAGAACAAAAGTTTGGTAGGATTTCAAAACAAGATGTTATTAAATCAGCACTAGCTATTATAATGTCTTGTTTTCTTCCAAAGAGTTGTTCATATCATCCCAGACAATAAAATCAAACAACTCAGAATAAAAGCATGCCAACTAATGAATTATTAACATTATAAGGCTTCAAAGCATTATAATGGGGACTCATTACTAGCACATGCTTTTATGTATTCTTACCATTTCTTACACTAGGGAAACTATTCGGTATTCATACATGTGAGTTTGATTTATTTCACTTATGAGTGTGGTCTCAATTTCCAAGATCTGGGTATTACAAATTGTACTGCTGTAAACATGGGTGCACATATATCACTGTGGTATAATGTTTTCAGTTCATCTAGGAATATGCCTAGAAGTGGAATAGATGGAACAAATGGGACTTCCAATCCAAGATTTTTGAGAAATCTCCAGACTGACCTCCACAATGGTTGCACCAGTCTACACTCCCACCAACAGTGCAGGAGATTTCCTTTTTCCCCACAGCCTCTCCACCATTTGGGATGTCTTTCCATTTTCTGAGATTGTTTTCAGTTTCTTTTTTCAATGTATTATAATTTTCCCTGTATAGGTCTTTCACTTCTTTTGTGAGAGTAATTCCTAAATATTTCATTTTTTGGTTGCTAGTGTAAAAGGAGAATCTTTTCCTTTTTCCTTCTGCTGACCCTATTTTAAGAATAGCTGATAAAACATAGACACAAGAGGGGAGAACTGTTAGAAGACAAATAGCCCCCACTAAACTAGAAAACACCACCAGAATGATGTCATACATGTACCTGTCAGTGCAGGACAACAAAAATAGTGGGGATATATCACAAAAGAAATGGTTTATTTCTTTGAGACAGAAGTCTACAAGGGAATTTTAGTGGGGTGAATGATTTAGCTTATGGTATCTCCCAAAATTGATTCAAGTGCAAGCAAACAGCAAAGCCTCTTCGACATAATAATGGTATAAAGCAAGGGGTTACAAATTGCTATCTACCTGCCATAAGCCATTGGAGCCAAGAGGAAAGATTCTGTGTCAACCACAGGGCAGAAAAATCATAAATGTGCAGCACAGCATTTGTAAGAAATGGTCTTCTCATCAGAAATCAAGATCATGAGGAATTTGGTGGTAAGGACAGAAGAGCAGCTCATGTCCATAAAGAAGATCACACAGATGAAGAAGTGCATTGGAGTGTGCAAGTGGGAGCTGATTGTGATGAACAAAATCATGCCAATATTCCCCATCAGGTGACAGAGGAAATGGAAAAAGAATGTAGCAAACAGCAGGTGCTGAAGCTGTGGATGGTCACTGAGCCCATGAGAAGGCTGTGTGCAGCCACAGTGCCATTCTCCAGCCTTATCATCCACATTTCTTCTGCCTGTCTGGAGTGATGATGGTGTAAGGATGGAAGTGGACTGTAATGACGGAAGTGAGAAAATGTCAAAATAATGGAATGATAACTCAAAATCCACTCCGGCATTCTTATGGCAGCAAGATGGATCCAGTTTAGCATATTTTATAGGATATTTAAAAAAAAATTCAATTAAATCAGAAATTTGTGGTTTGATTTGGTTTTTAACATTAATTGGTAAGTTAATTAAAATATATCTTGCATATACATAATAATAACATTGCTCATTCCTCTCCTTTAATAGATATTTTAGCCCTTTACTTTTCTAAGGTATTATTTAAATTTTTGTTCTCATTGTCAGAAAATAGCCTTTAACTTTCAAGGAAAAATGGTTACTAGTAAAAGAATGATCATGTTGACATTTGAACAAAACAGTGTCTCTCATTTCATCCATTCCTTTCTTCTCTGGGAAAAATGAGCTCATCCTTTCTGCAGTTAATTACATCACAAACTGCCTTTATCTCCATTAAGGTCCCCATGCTATTCTTAGTCACCTTTGGCCCATGCTCTTTCCTCATATAACAATGCTTAAATCTACTTCACCTTTACAAACAGGTGCCTGTTTCTATGTACTTTCTCCATTGCATCACTATGCTTCCTCATGGACATCCACTGCATGTTCCCAATCTCATTTCCACTTACTGAAGTAGGATTTTTGTTTCAAAAACAAATAATGTTATTTAGCTTCATATGGCAAATTGTATTTTTGTGAAATTTTCAGTTTTAAAATATGTGTGCATTATTATATCAAGTGACAAAACTCCCTTTTAAATGTTCTCACCTCACCTGACTTTTCCATACCTACACCATTCTTGGTTTCTGTCCTAAGCCCAAAATGTCCTTGCTAATCCCCTGGCACATGGAACAGCATTGACCTGGGGCTTCCTTTATAACTTAAAACTTGTTCCCAAACTTAAATGCTGTTTTTGTAGTTGGTGAACCTTTTTATTTCCTAAACTTTCCACCTATGCAGTGGCAGCTTTTCTGTTTCCAGACAAAGTCACATGTTGAGACTGCAAAGAGTTATGGAACAGATACACAAACAGAGTAATTCCAAAACTGTATTTAGTGGATGTCACGTCTCGACACCATATGTTTTCTGAGATTTCTGTCTTGTCCATCATTATGCCCTCTGCTCCTAGTCTAAATATGGAGCTCATCCAATCAAGCACTAGTGATTCAATGATGGAAATCTGGAAAATATCAAGATTTCCTACTTTCTCATTAATGAAATTTGTAAGTGCCAGAGTACAATTCCAGACTAGATAAGGACTCTTTTCCTGAAACACAATCTTGCTCTGACATTCTGTTTTGAAAATCATCCCTGTCCTTTATCATTTGGAACTTTTCACGGTCTCTTTCCTACTGGTCGTCTATCTTCCAAATAGATTACACAGGCTATTCATATATGATCCCGAATAAACAGTGTAAATCATATTTAATTTTGTATTCTAGGTTAAACCCTGAAGTGGTGTTTGTGTCATACAAGCTAATATTTAAATACCTGCAGGTTTAACATATATTAGATATGAAATCCAAATAGAGCAATGCAAGAAAAACAATGAGAAAACAAAACACTAAGAAAATTTTACAAAATCAACTAAGTAATTTTTCCTGTGAAATAAGAATGAGAGAATATAAGTTTTTAAATGAATTCCATATAATGATATAATGTTGACATTAGTTATAAATATTGAATTCTAGTATTCTATTTTAGATTATTCCCTTAATGATAATGTCCAATTCCTAATAGTACTATTATTTGTAGATTGATAACTGGTGGTATCATTACCATTAGAAAAAAGTAAAGTTATATATAAATTGTCAGTCTTGATATTAAA